CCCCAAAACCCCAAAACCCCCATTAAGCAAGAAATTATCTGATATATTGATAAGAATATTTAAATCATTGGTGAAGGTATTTAACTTTATAACTCAAATTATTATTTTTCTGTTGAAAACTTAGGAATCAATGAATAAGGATAATTATCAATAGCTAAGACTAACCTAAATGTCCCACAACTAAGATACCAGCAGAAAGGTACTTAACATTCTATATTTATGTTTATTCTTAGAGACTGTTTTCAGAAAGAGATTCTGAAAACTCATCAGAGAACAAGAATCATCACTAGCCAGCCAAGAGGAGAAGACCTAATCCTGCTAGTAGAAACTCAAGCAATTTTACTCCTCCTTCTTAAATGAGTATTTCTATGAGTTTTGGGAATTAAATTGATAAAAAGCAATCAAATAAGCCATCTGCTAACAAAAGTGATATTTAAATTGAAGAGATCAATATTTCTGGAGATGAGGACTATTCTACTCCATATAGAGGTGGTAGAGGTGACATAGAAAACCCCATTACAATATCTTCAAATAAAAAGTCTTACAATGATGAGTCTGATGTAATGTGCTATTAAGGATTGATATAGTAGCTGAAAAGCAATTAAGTTTCAGATTGTAAGAGTTTGCTTTAGATTGTTAGTCCTACGAAAAGTACTAATGAGTCAATTTCTTGCTTTATTCCTCAAGATTTAAACTATCTACGCAACACAAACATTGGCGATAACAGAATTAAGATAATTGAGGGGAAGTAAATGCAGCAATAAATGAATAGAAGAGAATCTCAAGCAAGTATTCATCAGTCAAACTCAAAACTTATTAATATCAAATATATGGAGAAGGTGGTTACTGAAGCTGCACTTAAAGGTGGACTTAAGAACATTACCAAGACTGGACTCAAAGAACTAGGATTCTATTGCATTGAATATTTTAGAATAGCGATTGAGGAATTAATTGATGTTTCCCGGTCTTACAGAAATTAAGCATATTTGACTAACAAAAATCATAGTATTGGTCAGACTGTAAGAATTTATTAAGTTTAAGATTTTAGAATTAACTCAATCTGATAAGCTAGGATTACTATGATATGTAAATGGAGATTCCACCATAACTCAAAATTGTCTGTACTGGGAATCCTTTAAAGGATCATCAAACCTTATTTGAAATTGAGTCTGAATTGGCTTAATAAAAAGCTGAATAAGTTAAGTCAAAAAATGAAATTGTTCCTGAAAAACCCACTAAGAGCTCTGGGGGTAAAAGATAAGCTTAGAAGAAGCTAAAGACTGATGAGCAGGCTCAACATTAGAAAGATACAAAAGGTAATAAATATTGTGTATTAACTAATTAAATTTTATTGTAGACTTTTCTATGGATGAAGTGTATCTTAAGTAAAATAGAGATACTATTAGCATGTTTACATCTTCTGCTAGTAATAAAATATAGAGTAAAAAGGAAAATCAATAATTACTGAGATAGGCGAAGGATTCTGATTCATCAAACAGAGTTTCCAACCAAACTAATGGTAATTTATTATTAAATTAATGATTACCAGATATTTAACAACTACAGACTGAGTTAGTAATATATAATTCAAAGAGTCTCTATGATAATGATTTGATTGCCATGCAAGTAATGCCATAAAGAAGAGTTTGCACTAAAGTTCTTAGACAATGGCTGATTAAAACAAGAATCATTCAGCCCTAAACTAAAATGAGATTCTTGGAGGAAATTGCTAACCAAGCATTGGTTCAGTAATAATGATATTTACCACAAATAAGATTTTAGATATTTTCTTTGCTTTATAATATCAGGTAAAAAAATATATAGATAAGTAATTAATTTCATAAAATATAAATTCAAAGTTAATTACATAAGAGGGGTTTTGGGGTTTTGGGG